AGGGTAGAAATGACAACACAATGACTTTTTCTATTATTGACCTCCCACAGGCTTTTCCTCGCCAAAACCAAAGAACCTCAAGGACACGCAAAAACCATTTAAAACACTTTCCTGTCTCTTCCAATCCCAATTTCAACAAAAAACTTGTAGGAGTTGGCATCAAATTTAGGCTTGTAATGAAATGTGAATTCTTAAAATATAGAGATTGGCTGCTAGCTACATTCTTTTGTTCCTAAAATCAATGATAGAAAGGAAAATATACTGAAATGTTTAAAATGTGTTTCCTTCTTACTCCAACACGTGAGGGCTATCTGCAAAATTATTATCCATAGCCTCCCTAAAATGGGCCTAAACCACCACCCTCTTCTTTTAAAAAATGATTCTAGGTATAGAGTTAATTCTTGTGCCTCTGCTTTTATAAATTATGCAGATAAACTAAGACATATCTTGAAAAAAATCTTGAAAATGCCCCCAATAATGCTGTTGCTATGGTAACTCTTACAGGTTAGTTCTCTGAAAGGACTCAAGAGTTTGAACAAGGTTACTTCAACATCTTCCCCCCTTCCCCCCTCATAAAACGTATCCTTTGCAATAATAGCACATACACATATAATAGAAAAAGATCTAACTCATGAATCATACAGATTCTATTCTTTTGGGCCAACCATTATTTCCAAAGTTTATTTTTCTAATGTCTTTTCTCTTGGAATACTGCCCAAGAAAACAACAGAAATCAAATGCTACTTTTGATTATCACTCAATGTTATATTTTCTGTCAATGGTCCCTTTGAGTTGTCTTTCCAGTCTTTCCCCCTGTTTTAGGCTTTTTGGTTAAAATAAAATGTAGTGATATAAATATTTAAACTTAGTGATATAGTTCAGATATATAACCAATGGTCTGTTGAAAAAAAAAATGTTTGTTTTTTAAAAAACTTGACTGTGGGCATATGAATCAAGTTCAGTGAGCAAACATGTGTTACTTGAACAAAAAGCAAACACATTCCCAATTGACACTTATCCCATACAAGCCCTCCACCCAAGGTGATCATAAGGGTTTCTCTTAAAAAGACTTGCCAAAAGAAAGACACACATACATGAGCTCTATACAGCAATGAGATTTATATTTCATTTAATGATAAATTCCAATTATGTAGCAAGAGTGCATAAAGTGATTTCATGTGCACTACAGTACTACCTTATTTAATCCTTACAAATTGTGAAATAAACAGAATAGATATTATTATTTACACTTTAAAGGTGTGGCTTTATCTAGGGAGAAAAAACAACAACCCTAGGCCAAAGATGAACAGTAACATTTCCACCACTCACAAATTTCATGGCCCTGGGCAAAACACATAATGGAACATCTGGAATCCTCCTTAACTCAATAGAGACAATAGGATACAGCTTAACCTCTGGGAAGTCTTCTCTGTACTTCTCATCCTGAGGCCTAGAGGCTAGGTTTGGGACTTATGCTGTTAGGCTGTTCTGGTATCTTGCTTATCTCTTTACCCTTTATTTTAATGTCTTTTTAAAATTATTATCATGGTAAAAAAAAACACACACACACATAAGCATAACGTTTACCATCTTAACAATTTCTAAGGTGTACAGTTGAAAATTTTTAAGTATAGTCACATTGTCGTACAACTAATTAATCCTTTTTCACTTGATTATTGCTTATACTAGATTATAAATTCTTTTTTTTTTTTTTTGATCAGATAGAGTGGGAGGGAGAGAGAGAGAGAAAAAAACATCCACGTGAAAGGGACACATTGAGTGGCTGCCTCCCACACGACCAATCAGGGCCGGGGACAAACTGCAACTGAGGCATGCGCCCTTAGCGGGAGCCGAACCCAGGTCTCTCTGGACCGTAGGCCGACATTCTAACTGCTGAGCCAAACTGGCCAGGGCTAGATTATAAATTCTTAAGGGCAAGAATCATGTTTTGTCTGTAGCTCTATTTTTAGTGCCTAGCAGAGCCTGATTCATAAAATATTCTCAAAAATACTGAATGACGCTTGCTCTCTTTCTATGCAACCACTTACTGACCCACCTTAGAATTGAGAAGTGAGGTGTATACAGGAGTTTATCTAAATATGTTAATTTAAGTCAAAACTTTTTCTGATATGGCCAACTGGTTTTCTAACTAGGGTATATGGCAGATATTTTTGATAAATTGGATGAATATAACCTGCAGTTCCAAGACTTGTTTTAAAAAATACATTTAAAGAATGTGATAAGATAAAAGCAATTCATTAAAAAAAAATTGCACTGCCAAACATTACTGAAATTAACACTACTTTGATTTTCCTAATTGTTTCTTGAGTATGTCTCACTAAACAAGGAGTCTCTAAAATTAAATATCATATAAATGATCCTACTCAAGCTTTTTGGTATACTGTTCAAAAACAGGAAGTGAATGACTCAAATGACTAGTTAGCAAATCTTTTTATTCAGTTTATGTTTAATTCCTTACTTTATCAGTTTATTTTCAACAAAGAATCTTGACAGATCACTAAAAATAATTATTGATGACAGAATACTATGCAAGTTTTTGGTCACAGAACTTGGGATTTGTTCATAAAAACTGAGACATTGCAACAACAAAACTTCATTCTCATGTATATACCTATGTTAACAAAGTTTCTCAGAGTTTACTTATATAAAAACTGAAAAATGCAATAATAAGTAATAAGTAATATAAATTTCTCTCATTAAGAGATGTTTATGTATAATTAAAATTTGTACTACACTTATAATATTATTTTGATCAACTAGAGACAATAATCAGGGTAATAATCATTACAATAGAGGAAGAAAAAAATATAATCTCATAGCACTTTCTAGTAATAGAAAATTAATCATTTAATGTACATTACATGTACGTATCTCAGACAAACTCATTAAAACATAAAAATATATTACATTAAAATAAAGTTCAGTGGAAAATAGATGTAAAATTTCTAACTATTAAAGAATTGCTTCATTAAAAAAATAAATCATGGTATCGTACTTTTATATTTAGATTACCTGGATGCATTTAATAAAAATATTTAGCAGTTTTGTTTTAAAATGTGATTATTTAAAATACATTGGAAACTACATTTTTGTTATTATTTAAACTTAAAATGAAAAATTTCAGATGTAAACTGAAAAATGTCCAAGAAGTAATACAGTTTAAATAATAATAGTTTAAAATAATAAAATGAAATTAGTTTAAAAAATTCTTTGAATGGGTACACGAGCAAAAAAAGTCTAAAGACCACAATACTATCCAAACAACTGTTCTAGCCTTAGGTTTTTAGATTTGGAGTGTTTGCAGATTTAAGGAATTTACTTTTCAGTTTCATACTAAATTGTATTAGTATAGTTGAAGATATGCCCTAAAATGCCAACCAAAAAACAGTACTTATTTTTATCCAGAATGGGAGAAAAGTAAAGGGTTCTTTTGTTTGTTAAGTATATAATGATATCTCATTGTGATTTTATTTTTTATTTTTTTTATTTATCTTTATTGTTGAAAGGGGGGCCTTTGTTCCCCCATTGACTCCCTCCTCCCCGCACCCACCCCTCCCATGGTAGTAAAGAGTTCCTGAGTGATAGAATATCATGTATCAAATCAGTTCCCTGATTTACAAATTCTCTAGTAATAACTAAATCATGATACAAGTCTGACTGAGTGACAGCGTCAAGAGTTAAAATAATGAGCTTTGAGGATGTTTCCTTCACTGAGGTACTTAGTTAAATTATCATCTAACAAGAGAGCCTACACAGTGGTAAGATTATTGGCTGCATTATTAGTATTACTGTAATCACAGAATCTACTGCAAAAAGTGGAAGTATGTCATAAAGTGTTCTGGGGACCAAACTGCAAGCTTTACAAAAACAAAAACAAAAACAAAAAAAACCACACCACCCCAATCTTTCATGACCATTAGACACATTTTGGATAAGTAGCGGTTCTAGAACACCAAAACTCCTAAAATAAAATGTCTCCAAAAAAAAAAGAAAAATCTACCCAAAAAATTATCAAAGTATTTAAAAAGAATAGTAATAATTTGAATTAGTAACATTTCTTTACCACCCACTGATGAGAGAGTGCAGGCTCTAAGCTGTGGGCTGATACTTACTTAAACAGACAAAGGGGAACACATTTTAGTGAAAGAAAGCAAGATCTTTGATAGACAGTTCTTCGAAAAAGGTTAAAAATTCAAAAGCTGTGACTGCATGTGGCTCAGAACTAAAAGCTTTTTTTCTCCTCCCGACAGAGGAGCAGTCTCAAGTAATAACTGGTTGCCATGGAGATAAGAAACTAGAGAGATCAGAGAACTCAATTTGCAGTTAAATGGGCTGGAAACACTCCTTACACCTTGGTGAAGGAGAGTGATTAAAAATATACATAATTGCCAGAGGGATTCTTTTTCACCTAGCATTTTCCAACCTCATTAATGAACAAGTCTAAAAAAACAAATGCAAATCAAAAGTGTCCATATAGAGTGAACCCATTAAACATAATTCACGATTTCAAACGGTATCACAAATCCTCCTATCCTGGATGACTTTGATTCTTTAAAAAAACTTTTTTCTTTATTGATTTTGATAGAGAGAGGAAAGGAGAGGGAGGAAACGATAGAAACATTGATTAGAGAGAACATCGATTGGTGGCCTCCTACATGCCCCACCCTAGGGATCAGGCCCACAACCTGGGCACAGGCCTTTACCAGGAATCAAACCAGCAAGCTCTCTGTACATGGGTCCACACTCAACCAATGAGCCACACTGGCCGTGCAGGCTTTGATTCTTTTTAATGGTTCTTGTTAGTAAATATTAGAATGAGAATAAAATTGTGCTCAAGAACAAACTAGTAGTGCTGAGGGGACTGGAACTTCAGTGGAAAAAAAGAACATGACAACTGGAAAAGTACGCAGAGTAAGGAACAGATTCAAGTAGTAAAACTAAGGATTTGGAAAACTTCCTTCGAGTCAGTCATGGAGTACCTTTGTGAGTGCTGTAAAGAGCTGCGAACGTCACCATGAAGAAGGTCGTAGAGTACTTCCCAGCATTCACTAAATGAGGAAAGGCCCTTTTTGTGTCTCGGTATCGGCGCAGGCACTGGATAAAGCGAAGCCAAGCAGGAATGCACTGAACAATGGCCCGCACACCATATGAATATTTGTTGCAAATTTCTCGTTCTGTAAAAATGTCAAATAAGAAAAAATTACAATTAAAAAAAATAAATTGTTCCTATCCTTTAGTCATATATTGTAACCACTAGAAGTCCACAAAAACAAGGAGTCTGGGTTTCAGAATCACTTTCTTCTTTGCAACTATTTTAGTCTCAAACTTTTTAGTGGTAAGTGAACTAATGAGAGAAGGTAAAATACATAGGAAGGACTTAGAGGGAAAATCCACCCTCACAGGTTTCTGACATCTCTTCTGGAATCACTTTCTTTGCAGTGTGATAAAACCATAATAAAATTAGAAGATAAGTATATTAGTCAAAGAGTTAGTTAGCTCTGTATCTGAAACACCTGAAAAACCTACACATATCACTGGTGACTCATCAATTTCATGAACTCCAAACCACTATAATATATCTACCATAGCTAGTTCATGCACCTATACTCCTTTTTTCTTTAAATGGAGAACACAGTTTAGTTTCTAAATGAGGAGTTGATAAATCAATTTTTCTTCAAATTCTGGGAATGTGATCAACTTACAATACAGTTGTCATCTGCTGGCAATCAATGAAAATGTGTTGGCACTGGCTTCACTAACTTTTGTTAGTCTGATGTTACATAAGCTGTCTAAATTTGGTCTTTGTCATTAAGGCAAAATTCCTTTATAACTTGAATTCCTGGTACAAACTAAGAGTGAAAAAAAGAGCCAGAAGAAAAACGAGGTTCCCAGCAAGATAAAAAAAATTGACTGATGACTTTCTCAAAGCACTCTGTCTAACTCTAAATAATTAGTATTTTTGATCATTAAAAAGCAATACTGTGATGGCAACTGTTAGCACTAAAGCATTTGCAATATAACTACCAATGTACTATATAAATTCTTTAAATGTAAGTTGTAAATTTCTTGGCAAATGAATGGCCAAAATCGTAACATAATTTAAGAGCCAAATTTTGTCAGATAAAGAGATTGCTAAAAAAGTGCCAAGTATATTAAATTAAGTTTGTAATATTATTGGATGAGTTTTCACCATGATCTTAAATGTCTCAGCTATCTCTCCCAACATTTCTTGGTGTACATTGGCAGTTTAGTAGTGTGGATGCACATTCATACTCTACCTTCTGAATTCTTTGGCAACAGGCCCTCACTTTCATCCCATTTGAGCTCAAAACTGTAGAAGCAGATCATATATTCCAGGTCCATCAGTATCACTGACAGGCTGTTCAGCTGATCGGCCAGCCAGAAATCAGCAAAGCCTACCTTATGGAAGGGAGCTGTAAATACTCGAAACTGGGAGAAAGAAAAGAAAAAAAAAGGAACAGAGAGAAATAAGAAAATTCATATTAAACTTCTCTAATTCATGTGTGACCATGCAGCATTACTTTTGCTAATAAAATGAAAACCAATGACCCAATCACAAACACAAGGACCTGGCAACAGTGGCTAGATGGAGAATTAGTAGTGAAGGGAGTAAGTTGAATGCATAACTAAGAAAGGAAATAAAGCCGGCTGTGGGAAAGCAGAAATAGCTAGTTAGAAAATAGAAAGCAGAGAGGTGTGAAGAGTTGAAGTCGAAAGTAGAGATTGGCAGAATGTAGAAGTACTGATAGGATGTCTAACATTAGGCTGTAAGGTAAATTTTGCTGGAGACCCATGTGTTATGATAATTTCTGGGATATTCTCCCGTTTTAGCTCAGATGGGAGCTTTGCTAAATGAATACAAAGCTCTCCTTGGCCTATAAAGTATCGACAGGAAGGTTCATCTCACTGTTTGAAGCATGCCCTCTTCTCTAACCAGTCACTTTTGTTTCACTAATACCATGATGATAATTGTATCTGTCTTGAAATTATGCCACAAAAATCATCCCACAACCCTACTGTTATGAAAACAATGATAAATGAATTCAGGTTAAATGTATTGAGCACTAATCCATGCTGTGTATTTTTCTCATAAATGCATTTCTCATAATTCACTAACTATAACAATTCTATGAGATAGGTATTACTCATATCCCCATTTTACAGAAGACCTACAACAACTCATCCTGACCTCTTCTGTGCAAGCCTGTTTACCACTACAAAGAGAAATTCTGGCATTGCAGAGAGGCAGGATTAGATTCTAATGTAGCACCAGCCCGTTTGGCTCAGCGGTTAGAGCGCCAGCCCTAGGACCAACGAATCACTGGTTCGATTCCAGTCAAGGGCACGTAGCTCAGTTGTGATTCGTCCCCAGCCCTGGTTGGGGTCATGTGGGAGGCAGCCACTCAATGTGTCCCTTTCAGGTTAATGTCTCTCTCTCTCTCTCCCTCCCACTCTATCTGAACAAAAATGGAAAAATGTCCTCAGGTGAGAATTAAAAAAAAAAAGATTCTAATGTAATCACCAGACATAACCTCAAATTGTATGCAGAATGCCCTGACAGGCCTTGAGAGAAGTCAAGATAGGATGAAAGCAGATCTAATCCTCACTCTGTCAGGCCCTTTCTATCTAGAACAGGTGAGAATGGACTCCTAAAAAAAGGAATTCTGACTAAGTAGCAGTTTTGAGAAAAAAAATCTGTAGCTCTCCTGCCATCTAGCTATATTCATTTAGTAGATATATTCAGTCTGGAAAACTATGGCTCTTTCTTCTCAGACTTGGCTGGTTTTTTTCTATTCCTTCTCTAGATATTTCCCTTTATTATTTCAGGAAGATAAATGGCTATATTACAAATCAATCCTGAGTGTCAACTACCTGTGACAGGTACTGCCTTACAATTGTGGAAGTTAGACCAGGTAGGTGTTTGCAAGACACAACACAGACTTTGAGACATTATGTTCTGGACCTGATATATTTTGAGTCCATGGCTCAGTCTCTTGATCACTCACTCACTCTTTCAATAAGTTGTATAGTAAACCAGAGAGACAAGCCATATATTGTCTGCAACCATAAGCTCCAGATACAGCATACTCTTTGGGGGGGGGGGGGAGTGGGCAGTTAGACATTTATGCATGAAGAGGTTCTGATACCAGTTTATATAGTGTTTTAAGAAATTGTAGGGTATAGAATTCAGAGACAGAAACAAGAGGATAATTTAGGATATAACACCAAAGGATCGAAAGTCCAACTCAACCTCTAGTCACTGACTCGTGAAACTGGTAGTCTAAGACAAATTTTTGATTTCTAATTGACATGAGACATATTACCATCACTCTCAAAATCTGTCAAACCCAGCCTCACAGCCTGGCTAATACAGCTCTGGCTGGTGTGGCTCAGTTGGTTGAGCATCATCCCACTAAGAGGTTTTTGGTTTGATTCCTGATCAGGACACATTCGATCCCCTAGTGAGGGGTGTGCAGGAGGCAGTCTATGTATGTTTCTCTCTCGCATCGATGTTTGTCTCTCTCTTTCTCTAAAATTAATTAAAGATCTATATATCTGTATCTCTATATATAGAGATATAGATATATATTTATATCTCTTTACCTGGCTAACACAAAAAACCTCTGTAAGAACAGAAGAGGAGGAGAATGCATTAAATAAGAAACAAAGATAGAGGGATGGAACTGGAAAAGGAAGGGAATGGTATGAAAATAAAAACTGGGAGGAAGAGACAGAAGAGAAGATAAAGAAAGAAGGGAGTAATAAATGTTGGTACAACTAATGAAGGAAATAATATAATTATAGTCATCTATGCATCTAACAAAGATTTATTTATTAAGTATTTACTATGTCAGGCATTGTGGAGATATAGGGATGATTAAAAAATAGTCTCTACTCTCAAAGACCTCAAAGACCCACAGTCTGGTTGGGCAAATAAATACTTAAAGAAATAATGAGAGGACTGTGTAATAAGTGCTATTTCAGATATACATACAAAATACCCTGGAAATACAAAAAAGGAGCAAGTATCTCAGTCAGTGATAAGGGTGAGGTGGGAGTACAAAATAAAGATATCATACTTAAACTCCTGACATTTACACACAGTAAAAAATTCATCTTAGATTTATCTGAATTCCCCCCTTTGAGTGAGAATTCCCCTTCTTCCTTTCTTGTTCTGGTTAAGGTCCTCAAACTTCTACCTTGTGATCCTGACTAAAACTAAAAACGATTCACTGAGCAAAGTAGTAAGAAAGCTAGAGACAATGTTTTACTCATGTACACACACAAAAACCACTTGCCCTGGTTGGGTGGCTCAGTTGGTTGGAACATCGTCCCATTCACCAAAAGGTTTCAGGTTCGATTCCTGGTGAGGGCCTATACCTAGGTTGTGGGTTTGATACCTGATCAGGGAGAATATAGGAAGCAACCGATCGATGTTCCTCTCTCACATCAATGTTTCTCTCTCTCTCTGTAGAAATCAATGAAAGCCTATCCTACAGTGAGGACTGGAGGAAAAAAGCCACTAATAAAGTATTATAAAGGATATATGCTAACATCCTCTTTTAAGTTAAGGCAGATAAACAGTTAAGGAGATAAAATTTTAATTTCTACTTTTTACAAGCTTGTGAATAATCACATTCTTTCCAGATTTGATTTTTATATTCCATTAGTTTGATCCACTCAATCAAAGTTAAACATCTTAGATAAAGTGACTACCAGGTCTAACAGTTAAATGGTAGTGTTTAAGAGCACAGATTATGGAGCCAGACTGCCTGGGCTCATACCCTATTCTCCAACACTTACTGTGATCTTATTTAACTTCTCTGAATCTAGGTTTCCTCACTTATAAAATTTAGATTAACAGCAGCCCCAACCTCATAGTTTAGTAAAAGGATGTCCAGAACAGTGCATTATTAAATGAGAACATCTATTCTTATAGTAGAGACATGTAAAATTTTTTCTACACAACTAAAGAAAATATGGGAAAAACCAATTCCCAAATTATATTGCAATGTACTCTATTTAAAAACTTTAAGTAGCTTTCGATAAGAATAAGATACTTTTGTTTAGAAAACCTGAGTCGTTGTTTATGCTTCCTAATTGGATTTCCAATTAGGGCAAATACAGATCTATAGAGAGGATATAAGTATGACCTAATGAATATAAAAAATACTATTTTGACACATAACATTAATATAAAAATAAATAAATTTCCTATAAAAAATGTTTTAGCTTGAGGGTGGGGTGGGGAAAAGTAGCATATATCAATTCCACAGATTCAAATTTAAATACAGACATAAATGGTGCCTACTGCCTACTACTACGGCCACATCAGCCAGGGTGTGACCTATATTCTTTTCCCACTAAAAATTAAAGAAGTAAAAAAAAAAAAGGAAAATGTAGTTTTACTTTAGGATTAGGCTTTAAAAAGAGCTGTATCAGGGAAACATAACTAGGGTGGAAACATTCTTATAAATCTGTTAGAAGTAAGTCTAAGAGTAAATTTTCTCAGTGAGATTTGAATTCAACTAAGTTGATAGGTCTATTAATATTAAAATGATCTATAAAAAATGTTCCTGGTAACAATTATTATTACAAATAGAACAAATCGCAATGCTTCCTTCTGTATTTTACTGCATCTGATAGTACATTTTATAATTCTATGATTTTTTCTTATTATATTACTGTTGCCAACTTATTCCATCAACAAGTCCTCATTTAGTAGCACACAGCAGATGCATAGATAAATGTCTACTCAATGGGGAATCATTCTACTAATAAGAGTAACTGGTCATGCATGAATATAGCTTACTATTTAAACAAAGAAGGATGCACTGGGGAAATGCTCACTTAGCATATAATGTACGCAACTGTATTACTTTGTTATTGCAATGAGATAGTCATATTAACACCTAAGTTTTCTGAGTCTTTCAAACCTCATTTCAAAATGACTATATAGAAATTTCACAATAATTGAGGCAGGGAATAATAGATATTTATAATCTCAAAGTCATTTGCTTGTACCAGAAGAATACTACATTTTTTAATGCAAATAAGTTTTAATACTCCACAAAATCTAGCAATAAAATGACAAATAACCTCAAAATAAGAAAAGTAATCTCATAATATTGTACTAACTGGAAATGATTTTAGCATAGATTTCAAGAGAAATGGCTCAAATATTTCTGATCTGTAAAAAATCCTTTATGACTTATCAAAATACTCTTGTATATCTAAGTTCCATACTCAGAATCAAATCTACAGGTAGACCTGTGGTGCTTTACGTAAAGGAAAGTATTGGCTCTTTTAATTATTTATATTTAATGAAATTGAAGGAAAAGAGGGAGGTTCTCAATTTGTGATGAATTCTAGTGGAAAAGAAGAAATAAGAAATACAAATAAAAAACAACCAACTTTGGGGGGAAAAACGAAGGTAATTTGAGCCATCTTCTTTTCCTGATTGCTATGAATACTTACCTATATTCAAACATAGGCTGCTTTTCATTTGTTGAGTGTTTATTTTACTTTTTAAATAGGAAGGCCATATTTTATGTCTTTAGATTTAAAAAATTTAGTTAATGCTATATATAGGAAATTTATTGTTAAGAACAAGAAAAATCTGCGAACCCTAAGGGACACATAAAAGGATAAAAAGAAACAAAAACTACAGTTTTCAAGGAAGTATATTTTCTAAAGTGAAAAAAAAAAAAATGAGGCAATAGTTATGGGAATTCTGAAAGTTTGTATAGAAATTGGTCACTTTAATCACTAATCTTTATTCTCCTGTTAGCTATAATTCATAATCTAAAAAATAATTATATGAAAGCATTCCCAATTGATTTTCAACACAGAGCTGGTTTAATTTAGAAGTAAGCATAAATTCCTTCCCAGAGTTCACTTTACACCATCACAAAAAAATACACCTACCATTTCTGCATATCCTAATACTATATTCTATTCCCTAATATTGAGACTGCATGATTTCGCAGTCATTAAGAAATAAAGTGGAAGAAGAAATGAAATGTATTATAAACAAAATCAAAGTCAGTTCCTCAAATTAAACTTGGTGATCTAGCAAGATATTCCTATTGCTTTTGAAACTTATAGAGTTCTACATGTTATCAGAGCTGATTAATCTGTATAATGAAGTAACTAAATCAATCATGAATTAATTATTATTATTAGCAAAACCATTTCAGTATCTGGAAACTTCATACTCCAGTTTCAGAAGAAAAAAATAGATGTATGCTTTTGCCAAAGATGCTGTACTGTGTAACATCAGGAGTACCAGTCATATTGCATTCTTAGCCTCTAGAGCTGGGGCACCACTCACATAGATTACAGTGTGAACCATGCTTCTGGAGCTGTGCAATATAGCGCCTGGGTTTCATCCTGGAGGAAACCAATGACCAGCACAGTATACCACTCTAAAAATGATACAAAATTTCAGGACTTACCAGCAGTTTAAGCAGCCAAAACCGGGATTTATAATAGAAAGTTTTTGTGGGGTTGATAAGAAAGAAAGCCATAAATCCATAAAGGGCAAGTGGGTACACATATGTGGGGATGACACTAACTGGAGCAAAGAAGCATGCCAGAAGGCTCAGGCACCACAATATCCCAAGGAATCCAGCAATCTGATAAAGGATGGAAAAGGCAAAAAGAGAAAAAAATTGTTTTGTTTTGTTTTTTATTTTTACCATTAGTCAGAATCTCTTTAATAAAACAAACGGAAGAAAAATGTTTAGTTATTAAGTCAAGTGTCCTCTTCAAGTAGAAGGTGGATTTCAGTACCCACCAAACCAGCTGTACAGCTAAATGAAAATTATATTTGTGAAACTTTATGCCTTGCTTTGATTACCTCAAAGAGATGCTGATGAGACAAATTGCTTCTTGGATTAAGTTCAAAGATGAGCACATGATTTACTCCAGCCTGTCTCCAACCATACGTGTTGATGCCCAGTAGAAAAAGGAATTCAATCAGAAGAAAGCCACCCCGATAGATTCTTATCAAGGGCCATATACTTCTATCTTTTTCAAGTTTAAATATAGCTGAAAGAATATCAATTAATTGGTTAGTTAGAATATTCATAATGTCTCCTTTATTGCCTTTTCTCTTAATTCTTAATAACATAGCTCTGGCATAGGAATTTTTTATAAATAAAACTTAAATTTAGATGATCTTAAGAGCCTGTAAACTTGCTTCTAGGTTTTATCCCATCTTCATTTCCTCTGCAAAATCCCAACAGAATAATTTCCTAAAATTTGACCACTAGGCATGTTAGTCCATTGTTCCATTAGTTTCTTAGATTACAGAGAACCAAGGTAAAACAGTTTAGAACTACTATAGTATCAGTTCTGTCAGCTGGGGATTTCTGGCATGACACAATTTCTTTAGCTTTGTTCTGTCCATCATTAAAACTTGATAAAGTAATACCTACCTTACAGAGTTGCTGTGAAAATTAAAGGAAATAGTACACATGATGCAATGTGAAAATTAGAAAGTGATATAAATAACACCAGTTAATACTTATAGAATGCTTATGGTGTGCTAAGGATTGTTCTCAGTATCTTTACATATAATAACTCATCTAATGCTCACAATGGCTCTATGAGTTGAAAACTATTATCACCATTTGATTGATGAGAAAACTAGAGCACTGAGAGGTTACGTAATTTGCTCAGGGTTAATAAGCTAGTATATAGGGCAAAGCCAAATTTTAACTTAGTTTTGCTTCAAAGTTAACCACTACATTATATCGCCCATATGCCCACACAAATGTTCAGTATCACTATTACTCTATAGCTCTCTAATAACATTCAAACACTTTAGCCTTCCAATCAAGTTCTCCACAATCTGATCTCCAACTCACTTTTTCCAAATTTATCTCATAGTACCCCCAAACATTTTAATTCTTATCTCCTGATGAGTTTTATTATCCTTTTAACAAGTTCTTGTTTCACATTTGCTTATGTTGCCCCTTGTATGTAAAATGGCCTGCTCTTTCTTTCCAAAAATTCAAATTCTACTTATAATTTAAGAGCCATATCCTCGTCATTCATAAATTCATTGAACCAATATGTTTCATTTTGAGCCTATTATGTGCCAAACATTTCAATTTGGGTAACAACTACTCAATTTTTCTAAATAACTATAAAATGTATTGTTAGTACCATTCATTTGATATTTAATTATATACTACCTTAACACTTAAATAATCAATTATTTAACTTTGTATTCTCTATAGTATATAGCACATTAATAATTTAAAAATACAGGGCAGAGAAAGCCTTTGCTTTAGAGTCAAATATGATAAACTAGATTTCAAATCCTAGCTATACTAAAGGAAGATTATTTAATTTTTCTAAGTCTCAGTTTCCTTATTGGTCAATGGGGGATAATATCTGTTCTTCCTTAAAAGTTTAAGATTAAATATGACAACATATATTAAATGACTAAAACAATGTTTTCATTAATTTGACAAAGATTTATTAGATGCTTATACATGACACCATTCTAAGAGCTGGGGATTCAGTAATGAACAACAGACAAAATACCTGTCTCAGGAAACTTGTATTCTGTATAATGTCAGATAGATAGTGATAATTTTTTTTGAAGAAAAAAAATGTAGGGTAAGGAAATAAAGAATGATGTTAGGTGTTATTTTAGGTAAGGTGGTCAAAAAGACCTCTCAGGCCCTGGCCGGTTTGGCTCAGCGGTTAGAGCGTCGGCCTGCGGTCCCGAGAGACCCGGGTTCGGTTCCCGCTAAGGGCACGTACCTCGGTTGCAGTTTGTCCCCGGCCCTGGTTGGTCGTGCGGGTGGCAGCCACTCGATGTGTCCCTTTCACATCGATGTTTCTCTCTCTCTTCCTCTCTCCCCCTCCCACTCTACCTGAACAAAAAATAGAAAAATGTCCTCAGGTGAGGATAAAAAAAAAAAAAAAAAAAAAAGACCTCTCAGGATATGATTATTTGTAGATCATTTGCATTTCCTTAAGGAAATAGAGAATGACTCATGTTAGTATCTGAAGGGATAGAGCTCCAAGTAAAGGGACAGTAAAAGGGCTCGACAACAGGCATGAGCATGATGTGCTCCAGGAACAAGAAGGCCAAGGCCACTATGACCGGAATAAATGAGAGGTAAAGTGGTAAAAAGATAACCAGGGGCAGATCAGGTAGGTCTCTGTAGTACTTTGTCAAGACTTAAGCTTTAACTCTGATGTATGAAGCCAATGAAAAGTTTTTACACATAAGTGACATGACCAGATTAATAATTTTAAAGGGCTACTCTAGCTGTCATGTGAAGAAAAGACTGCAAAGGAACAAGTATATTGTCACTGTACAAAATTAAGGTCATTAGGAATATATAAGAGAAATTTTAAAAATCTAAACAGGTAATTTTTCATCTTCATGAAAGTAAATATATGAAATACATAAATTTCAGACAAATCATTACATATCAGGTCATGTCCTTTGAGAAACTACAGCAGTTATGCACACTGTTGTTTTTTTTTTTTTTTTTTATCCTCACCAGAGGACATTTTTCCATTTTTTGTTCAGGTAGAATGGGAGGGAGAGAGAGGAACAGAGAGAGAGAGAGAGAGAGAGAGAAACATCGATGCGAAAGGAACACATCAAGTGGCTGCCACCTGCACAACCGACCGGGGCCGGGGACAAACTGCAACCGAGGTACGGGTCTCTCAGGACCGCAGGCCGACGCTCTAACCGCTAGCCAAACCGGTCAGGACTGCACACTGTTTTTTTATGTGAATGTTTGAAAAAAGAATCGTGCTTGTACACGCATTACTACTGCTTTGTTTTTCTCTCAACACTGTTTTCTTTTAAGCACCCGCTGGGAGATAAATAAGGATAGACAGCTGGCTTTTACTATATTTACCCTGACTCTCCCCATACCAACACAAAGATCAAACAAAGAAGGGCTCTGAAATGAAAGAACATAATGCACAACACCAAATGCATAAACCACGCATTAAAAAACAACTCCGAGTGTCAAACTAAAACTTAATCTATATTTACGAAAGAAAACAAAACCTCAACTTGTCCCTGAATTTTAAAAAACTTCCTTTCGATTCATTCACATAAAAAGAATGAAGAAGTTTATTTATTCTTATGTCTTATTTAATGATGATGATAATACCACCGTCATCTTGGAAATTAAAAAATTCCACAAATATATGACTAAGGTTTTTCCTACAGAAAGAATAACTCTCAACATACACACCATATATACTGATGTAGAGCTTCCCAATCAAAAACATGTTTTACTTACACTTCTTAACTGAACTCTATGAACTTATCTCAAGCTATCTTTCTTATTATCTAATACTCTCCTTTACCATAGGTGAATATATCACTTCTCTCCTTTGTAACCCACTCCCTCCTCCTCTGCTCCATCCCTTACCCGGGCCAACTAAAATGAAATCTCTGCTCATCTGTCTCCTGCCTCCATCAATGTCCAGTATAACTAGCATTTCTTCCATAAAGTCTTCCCTGATGCTCTCATTTAAAAGTAATCACTTGTGCCCAGATGGAGTGGCTCAGTCGATTGAGCGGCACCCCATGGACTGAGAGGTCCTGGTTTGATTCCCGGTCAGGGCACATGTCCAGGGTGCTGGCTCAATCCCCAACAGGGCACGTGCAGGAGGCAGCCAATCAATGTTTCTATCTCTTTCTCCCTTCCTCTCTCTCTAAAAATTAATAAAGACATTTTTTTTTTTTAAAAAAGGAACCGCTTGTTCCTTTGGCCTGCTTAGAACATTTATGGCATATATGTTTGCATGTTTTCCTGAGCAGAATTTAATCCTTTATTCATGATTCACAGTTATCATTATAAGGGTAAGTACATAAATTCTTGAGGTATACCAGGATTATTTGCCCTTAAAGTCTTCAAATGAAAGAACCTTTGAGATGTGTGTCTGTGTGTGTATCATTTAATTTCATCTTGGTCCTTTCTCTTCTATCCATTTAAACTTCCACCAATATTGTTTCAGCATTGTCCCTACTATGTCCCAGGCAGTGTTGTAGGTGCTGGAGATGGTGAACAGGAGAAACAAATGGCCATTCAGGCATCAAGGAACTTACATTCCAGTGGGAAAACAGGGACTGAACAAGCTACTTTAGGGTAGAGTGATCAGAAAGGCCTTACTGAGGAGGTGGCATTTGAATAGAGACTATCTGAATGAACTGAGGGAGTAAGCCCAGACATCTTGGGGAAGAGCCTTTTAGGCAATTACAAGAGCCTGAAGATAGGAATGAGCTTGGGGGTATTCAAGGAATAATAATGACACTGTGTTTGAAAACAGTGAAACTGAGTGTGGGGAGGATGACAGGATGTAAAGTCAGAAAGGCCCATAGAGGCAAGATTATGCAGGGTCTTACAGGATGTAGTAAGAAGTTTCAATTATATGAGAGAAGCCATTACGGGGTTTTGAAGAGATTAATTTGTTCTAACTTATTTTTTTTTAAAGACAGTGGTGGCTATAAGGAGGTAAAAGTGGCTGCAAGGAAACAAGTTCAAAAGACCAGTGCAGTATATTAAGAATGGCACTGGTGCAGGTGGTCAGATCAAAATCTATTTTGAAGACAAAGCAACAGGATTTGCGATGGACTGGAAATGTGGTAAGAGGGAAAAGAGAGGCTAAAGGTTTTTGGCCTGAGAAACTGATGAAATGTGATGCCATATGGAAGTGAAAGTATATTTGGGGGTAAAAAAAAATTGTTGTCAATATAAGTTTGAAATGCCTATTAGACATCCAAGTAGCCAATTAGATAGCATTCAGAGAAAAGAGTATATATATATATATATATATATATATATATATATACACACACACACACACACACACACACACACACACACTTGGCAGTCATGAGTATATAGGTGGTATTTATAGCCAAAGATTTGAATAAGATTGCCTAGATAGGAAATACATGTAGACAGAGAAAGAGATTTGAGGATTAAGCCCACTGGTATTCCCCAACATTTAGATGTCACAAAGAAGAAGAAGAAAATAAGCTAGCAAAGGAAACTGAAAAGAACTGCCAGAAAAATATAATAGAAAACCCAGCAGAGTGTAGTTTTCCAGCAAAACCAATTGAAGAAAAAGTTTCCAGAAGGAGCTATCAACAATGCCAAATACTTCTGTTGGGAGGTTTAGTAAGACTGTACCTCCCTTACTGTTATATCATTTCTTGGTGTTGGGAATGCATTTGCTTCTAGCAATTCCTTCTACCTCTTTCTAATTTTAAACTTCTATAGAATAGGATATTATATAACCAAGCTTCTTAAAATTAAATATAAGGTAATTGTAAATAGTTTATGGAAAAGATGTGAGTGTCAAAAAAGCAAAGTATATAAATCAGTACATAATTTGTAATATTTTATTTACTCTCATCTGTAATCAAGGGAGCTGAGGTTCTTGATAACAGAACACTGAAAAAGTGTGAAGAAACTGTATACAGACATTGGAAAATGATGAAGAATAAGAAGTCATCAACTAGTAATATTTTAAAAGATAATATACCCAAAGGGAGTAACAAACCAAAACAAATGACTTCCCCCATTCCCACTTATTTATAACAACAAAAAACTTAGCCCTAACAGATTTCTTTTTCAGTAGCTTTAGTAATTTGGTAGTAGCTTTGACAGAAGGACAGAATATCATTATAAAAATAATTTAATTAAAATTTAAACTACTTACCGGCAAGTACAAGGGTAACATTCAGTACAATGAATATTCCACAAAATAGGCCAACTCTAAAAGTAGTCCATGCTGGTGCAGGCTGTGGATAGAAAAACAGAATTTTGGGTATAGGGCAAAATATTGAGTACATTTAGCATATGCTGTCATAAATCAGTGGTATGAACCACAAAGTTCTACCATGAAAACAAAAATATTTTAAAATCTGTATTTTTATAAATCTGAACCAGAGAATCATCCCTCATCATTCTATTATACTTGTATAAAGTTGCCAGTTATTTAAATTCTTTTATAGAAATCTGAGTCACTAAATCACTAAGATTATAATTTAGGCATTAAATTATATATACTCTGATTTTTATAGGAAAGATTTAGTGCAATTTCTAGGTCTCTGAACATCTTTTGTCATACTTATCCCTAAATATCTCATATTTTAATTATCAACAGCATTATTTTAAAATTTTAATTTCCAATTATACATGATGGTATATAGACATGTAATTTGATTTTTATATATTGATCTTGTATTAAGCAACTTTGCTAAACTCACTAGCTCTAGTAGCTAATCTATATTCATTAGATTTTCTAGGTTATCATGTCATGAGCAAAAAAACAAAACAAAACAAAAACCATCAGTTTTACTTATTTCTTTCTAATCTGAATGCCTCTTATTTTTCTTATGTTACTACACTGGCTATAATCTCCAGTACAATACTGAAGAGAAGTGAGTATGTTTTTTTGATCTTGGAAAGAAAACACTCAGTGTTTCACCATGAAGTATGATATCAGTCGTAAGTTTTTCATAAATGTATTTTATTAGAATGAGATAAGGAAGCTCTTTCTGTAATTTTCATTCCATTGTGGACAGAAAACACACTTTCGAAGATTTAATTTATTGACACTTGTTTTATCACACAGAACATATCACTTAAATGTTTTTTGATATAACAAGTGTCATTTAATAAATGCTTTTATTTTTATTTATTTATTTATTTTAATCCTCACCCGAGGACATTTTTCCATTTTTTGTACAGATAGAGTGGGAGGGAGAGAGAGGAAGAGAGAGAGAGAGAGAAACGTTGACGTGAAAGGGACACATCAAGTGGCTGCCACCCGCACGACCAACCAGGGCCGGGGACAAACTGCAACCGAAGTACGTGCCCTTAGCGGAAACCGAACCCGGGTCTCTCCGGACCGCAGGCCGACGCTCAAACCGCTGAGCCAAACCGGCCAGGGCTAATAAATGCTTTTAGATATAACTACTGTATTTTGAATAAAGCTATAGAGTAGCCCAGCACAGGTGACAACAACCCACTCCCCCACCATCACCAAATACACATCTCATCTTAATCATCTGGTGAGATTATGTCAATAAGTCAACAAAAAGTTAGCACGTCAATAAAAATGAACAAGAGAAGTATATGAAAAGAAGAGATAGGTGGGAAGACATTAAAATTCATTATTAAGTGAGATCTGGCATCTAATTTTTTAATACAAAAATAACAACAGGATTAACTACTTAAAAACTCTGAAACTTTTTTTTTCCTTTATTGATTTTTATAGAGAGAGGAAGTGAGAGGGAGAGAGAGAAACTTCGATGAGAAAGAACATCGATTAGCCGCCTCCATGCCCCCCACTGGGGATCAGGCCCACAACCTGGGCATGTGTCCTGACTGGGAATTGAACCAGTGACCTCTTGATGCATGGGTCGATGCTCAACCACTGAGCCACACAGGCTAGACTGAAACATTTTTTAAAGTAATGAAATCAATATATTTTATCAGCTAAACAGATTATATTAATTAAACCAAACAAACAACTGGAAACAAATACTAACCTGAGCAGCTCCCAAAGGGGGAACACGTAAACGCTTCATAGCTTTTTGTCTGTCACCATCTTCAAGTTCATTGGTCACTACAGCCTAAAAAGATACATGATTAAATTTCTTTTTATCATCCCCCAAGGATATGTTTATTGATTTTAGAGCAGGCTGGGGAGAGAGAGAAACATTGACTGGCTTCCTCTCATATGCACACCAAGCAGGGATCGAACCTCAACCCAGGTATGTGCCCTGACTAGATATCAAATCTGCAACCCTTTGGTGCATGGGACAATGCTCCAACCAACTGACGTCCCGTCCAGGGAACATTATTAAATTCTGACACAGGTCACACTAAACTTGAATAATGCATAAATAATTGTGAACCATTTATATATATGGTACTCTGATAACCTCTTGGTGAATGAGTACTGATTAAGCAAAAGAAAAAATCACAGTAAGAACATATGTTTATATTCTAAGTTAGCAATCAATTATAATGGAGAACAGAAATGAGGGATTATTTCATTAAAAATAAGACATGTAAATTATTGAAAATATGTGGCACACAAGTGAAATTACTATACCTCTGTTTCAGAGATGAGCTGATTGATTTTCTTGCATGTATAGAATGGGGCCACTTCTACGTGAGCTACTCGCCAATCTGCTCCACGAGATGTTTCCAGGATCTTGTCATGCTTTTTAAGGATTTTTCGAAACCCTGTAAAATTCAGATTCTACAGAAGGAAAGAGAAACACTACTATCATTTCCACCATCATAAAAGAAGATGAAAAATAACAAGTACTATGTGTAGACAGAGCTGACTGAGGATTGAGTACCGAGGGAACTGGCAATGTTTTCATTAAAGCATTTACTGAAAGGATAAGACTCTTTTCTTATTTTATTTAATTATTTCAAAGTAGTATGTTATCAGTGATAGAAAAAAAAAAAACCCTAAATATGAACCTTATTATTTCTATATCAAGTAAATTAATGGAAGTCCTAAACTCAAAACATTTTTGTTTCCATTTTCCTGTGGAAAATAGTTCTCAACATAGCTAATTTATATTCTTTTGATTCTTTGATCAAAAGAATATTTTCAGAAAATATTTCAGATTTATCATGCTAAATACATTTATAAGATCTCTGCTGTTTGAAGGACTGGTATAGGTATGCATTTCCCCCCACTATTATACAAGCATGTATAAACCAGCATGGAAAATAGATCATCTATTTCTCTTAACTTTGCTTCCATCCATTCTCAGTTTGGAGATGGGATTGCAAGAAAGAGTCAGTAGAAAAGAAGGGATCATACTTGTAGGATTTTGCTGATAACTGATAGAAGCTAGTAGTTTTCTTCCATTTTTACAGTATCAAAATCCTACTTTTCTACATTCTCAAATTCTGTTGTTTGATCAACATAACAAAAAAAAAAACAGAAAACCATGGATTTGCAAGGTTTTTTAAACCAGAAGTCTCTCAAATTTGCTGGTCATATATGCCCATTAGTAAAAAAAAAAAAAAAAAAAAATGAGCACTCACTCCAAACTAGCCTTTGCTTGCTTGCTTATAATTTCTTTCTCATACTTTAATGGATCACCTTAAATTCTCCTTGGGGTACATAACACTATGACTTGGAGAATGCTTACCATCAACTTTTCTTTCTTCTCATGCTCAAAACAAATGTATTCTTACAGAATAAACAACCCTCAAAGAATAGAGGATTAAAAAAAACCTTATAATTTACAATTAGTTTTTCTTCCCATGGAGTTTTTTTTTTTTTTTAATCCTCACCAGAGGACATTTTTCCATATTTTGTTCAGGTAGAGTGGGAGGGAGAAAGAGGAACAGAGAGAGAGAGAGAAACATCGATGTGAAAGGAACACATCAAGTGGCTGCCACCTGCACAACCGACCAGGGCCGGGGACAAACTGCAACCGAGGTATGTGCCCTTAGCGGGAACCGAACCCGGGTCTCTCAGGACCGCAGGCCGATGCTCTAACCGCTGAGCCAAACCGGCCAGGGCCCATGGAGCTTTTTATAATGACCCAAAACAAAAGCTTCTAGGAAAGTTAAAAAATTTAACAAGGTATTTCCCTGTAATGTATAGTCATAATTAATAAAATATGAAATGCTAATGTTTTATAAGAAAGAAGAAATATATTCTATAAAATCTTCACCTGAACCCTGGCCGGTTTAGCTCAGCGTTAGAGCGTCAGCCTGCAGTCCAGAGAGACCCGGGTTCGGTTCCCGCTAAGGGCACATACCTCAGTTGCAGTTTGTCCCTGGCCCTGGTTGGGTCGTGTGGGTGGCAACCACGCGATGTGTCCCTTTCATGTTGATTTTTCTCTCTCTCTCTCTCCCTCCCACTCTATCTGAACAAAATATGGAAAAATGTCCTCGGGTGAGGATAAAAAAAAAAAAATCTTCACTTGTGGATATCCGGATATTTTTATTAACTTGAGAAAGAGAGAGAGAGATACATCAACATGAAAAACATCGATCAGTTGCCTCCTATATGCTCCCTGACCAGGGATTGAACCTGCGACCTTTCTGGTGTATGGGACAACGCTCCAACCAACTGAGCCACCTAGCCAGAACCGTTTTATTTCTTTGTAAAAATAAATTATATTCTTGTAAAATTATTTTCCAACTGGGTGGTTCTTTCAATGATAAAATATTAAACCACCAAAGAAGAAAGCAGAATTATAAAAGAAAAAAAGAGAAATAAGTACATGCATTAACAACTTAGATCACTGCAAACATGAGACTACACTGACCTTTTATTTTAAAATACCAGTATTTATACCTGGTAATACTTTTGTTGTACAGCCTTTAGTTTTTATATAGTATATGATCCTGTGATGATCCCAACCACTGATTAGATGTAATAATCATAAGAATAAACTAGGAAAAAGAATAGTACATAAGGTCTCTCTAAAGATGAGGGAGATGCTTTTGCCTAATTTACATGTTTATTATAGAATGAATCACCTGTTTTTCAATAAATTCTTATAGCTTGGCCAGTGTGGCTCAGTGGTTGAGTACTGACCCATGCACCAAGAGGTTGCTGGTTCAATTTCCAGTTAGGGCACATGTCCAGGTTGTGGACCCAATCCCCAGTGAGGGGCATGTAGGAGGCGGACAATAGATATACTGGCTAATCAATGTTTCTATCTCTCTCTCCCTCCTCCTCCTTCTCTCTCTAAAATTAGTAAAGAAAAAAATATTTAAAAAATAATAATAAATTAACCCTGGCCGGTTTGGCTCAGCAGTTAGAGCATTGGCCCACAGTCCAAAGAGACCTGGCTTCAGTTCCCGCCAAGGGCACATACCTCAGTTGCAGTTTGTCCCTGGCCCCGGTTAGGGCTGTGTGGGTGGCAACCAACCACCAGATGTGTCTCTCTCACATCGATGTTTCTCTCTCTTCCTCCCTTTCTCCCTCCCACTCTGTCTAAAGATAAACGCAAAAATGTCCTCGAGGATAAAAAATAAATTAAAATTAAAATAAATAATAAATTATTTATAGATTTAACTATATAAATAAATATATTTTAAAAAACAGTGAATAAATGCCCTGTATTTCCAAAATTTCACATACATAGTTCAATTGCAGATTGGATTTTTAAAATATTAAGTGATATAGTATCTTAGATGTTCAGTCTGTATACACATTTGCTGTGAAAATTTCTTTATTTACAACATTAAAAAAATAGTTATATTGCAGTCTCTGAATAATAAGACCAAAAGGATTCTTAGTGGCAAGTTAAAAAGTCAGTATCTTGCCCTGGCTGGTTTGGCTCAGCAGTTAGAATGTCAGCCTGAGGTCCAGAGACCCGGGTTCGGTTCCCGCTAGAGGCATGTACCTCGGTTGCAGTTTGTCCCTGTTGGGTTGTGCAGGAGGCAGCCACTCGATGTGTCCCTTTCATGTTGGTGTTTCTCTCTCTCTCTTTCTCTCCCTCCCACTCTATCTGAACAAAAAATGGAAAAATGTCCTCAGGTGAGAATTAAAAAAAAAAAAGTCAGTATTTTTTATATTGTTAGTGTTAACTGCAGGAAACTTAACTGTCCAACTGCAATTATGAAAATTTCATTACAGGTTTGCAGGAATACAGAAGTTCTTACATAACCAGCAGTGGTTGGGTAGACATATATTATTTCTGATTTCTACTCATCACAGCCAGAGGTGTCTCTAAATATAGGAAGCAAACTATTTAGTCCTTAAGTCAAGGGCTACTCCTGAATATTGTACAAAAAGTTTTTAGAAAACTGATTTTCAAAAACAGAAGTTTTATTAAACTATTTAACCACCCCTGCTAACATGGTTTTATCCAGCAAGAACATCAGAGGTCTCAATAAGAACCTAAAGAATAATGGCATGCTAAGCATTTCCCTTTCTGGACTGACCCATTAGTATAGTTCCAGGTAATTCCATTTATTATCATTTTTCAATTATTTGAAGGTTCCATTCTCCAGGGTAAGAATCTAAGTACCTGATAGTTCTGCAGCAGGATAAGACTGAGGTAGAACTCGCTGAAGGCCAGTTTAAGGTCTTTAATATTCCTATGTTGCACACGTTCCTCATGGGACAGGTGGAAGACTGGCTTTCTGCGCTGTCGCAGCGTAGTAACACCAGTGCTTTCTTTCTGCGCATCCAGTGATGACTGAAGCTCATTCTGAAGTGTAGCAAACCTGCGCTGAGCTTCTGCAAGCTTTTCTATAAGAAATAAAATAGAATTGTCGAATTATCAAGATAAAAATGGTGGTGAAATTTCTCACTGACTTGTCTGAATTTTTACTAATTATTTGTTTGCCTAAAATTTTTAGGAAAAAAAGTTACATGTACTGTTTAGAATTGGACAGAAAAAAAAATGTTTGGTACAACACCCTCCTTTCATTCTACCCCATACTTCCCTCTCTATAAAACCTCAAGTGTATCCTTCTTTTTACAAATGAAGATAGAATTTATAAGGCCATTAAGAGGCCTTGCAGACACCGTCGTACTGGAACCGTTCGAGCCATGGTGAACCCGATCATGTATTTCAACATCGCCGTCGATGGCGATCCCTTGGGCTGCGTCACCTTCGAGCTGTTTGCGGACAAAGTTCCAAAGACGGCAGAAAACTTTCGTGTTCTGAGCACTGGGGAGAAAGGATCTGGTTATAAAGGTTCCTCCTTTCACAGAATTATTCCAGGATTTATGTGCCAGGGTGGTGACTTCACACGCCATAATGGCACAGGTGGCAAGTCCATCTATGGGGAGAAATTTGATGATGAGAATTTCATCCTGAAGCACACGGGTCCTGGCATCTTGTCCATGGCAAATGCTGGACCCAACACAAATGATTCCCAGTGTTTCATCTGCATTGCCAAGACTAAGTAGTTGGATGGCAAGCACGTGGTCTTCGGCCAGGTGAAAGACGGCTGGATGTTGTGACAGCCACGGAAAGCTTTGGGTCCAGGAATGGCAAGACCAGCAAAAAGATCACCATTGCTGACTGTGGACAATTCTCATAAATTTGACTTGTGTTTTATCTTAACTACCAGACCATTCCTTCTGTAGCTCAGGAGAGCTACCCCTTCACCCCCACCTACTTGGAATGTCTATAATATTCATGATCTTGCCGCAGTTTGTTGAGTTCCATATTTTCTTTACTCTTTTCAAGTCTAACTGGATTGCAGAGTTAAGTTTATGAATATGAAATAAAAACTAAACAACTGTTAAAAAATAAAAATAAAAAGCCATTAAGAGTAAGAATGCAAAATGGTGCAGCCACATTGTAATTAGGAAAAGAATTTGGCAACTCTCCAAAGGATAAACATAGTTACCTTAAGATCCAGCAATTCTATTCCAACATATATACCTAAGAGAACTGAAAAACATATGTTCACACGGAAACTTGTGTACGTATACAAACTAGTATTCATAATAGTAAAAAAGTAGAAACAACAACCAATATGTCAATTAACTAATGAATGGATAGGGAAAGCATGGTATATATGTACAATGAAATATTATTTAGCCATAAAAAGGAATGAAGTACTGATTAATGCTACAACATGGATGAATTTTGAAGACATCATGGTAAGTGAAAGAAGCCAGATACAAAATGCCACATATTGTATGATTCCATTGATAAGAAATGTCAGAACAGGTAAATCTACAGAGATAGAAATCTATAGTGATAGATTAGTGGTTGCCAGGGTTTGGGGGAAGAAAAAACAATGCAGAGAAAAGAAAGACGGGAAGAAGAAAAAAAGCAGAGGAAGAAAATAAAGTTCGTTTCACATAGCTTGATTTTAATAGAAGCTTATCAATCACTTTTTTTTTTAACAAAATGGAGAAAGCAAATATATTATGGATAGTATATAAATAATTATAATTTTCATCAGATGCTCCTTAACAAGAAAGCAAGCCAGGCCGATGCTTGAACTCACTTCCCCTCGACCTTCATCTTTTAGTAGCTCTTAAGTAGCTGCTTCTGCTATAATGAACTTAAGATTCAAGGTAGTCATGATGTAGGAAGAAATGTAAATAAGACAATGGGCATTTTACTCTAATTAATTGAATATACATTTAATCCTCATTTTTAGCACACATAAAAGCAAAGAACAAAACCAGCCATCAATTCCTAGTTTAAATATGTGGGTATTAGTTACCTATGATCACTTCTAAAAGGAACATTTAGCATTTTAATGAAAGAGATTCTTATGTTTCATTACACATACTTAGTGATAAAACAATATACAGTGTCTCAAATTCAGTAAGAATAAAGAAAAATGAACATACAGCAAGACACTGTATAACCGGATTATAGGAATAACTGTGCAGAGTTCTGAATAACTATTATCCAGTTGGTCTTGCATTTATATGAAAATGCAAGAAAATAAAGATGGCGGTGGGCAGGACCGGAGGGAGGGTAAGTGTGTGAGAGAGTGAGCGAGTGTGTGAGAGAGTGTGAGTGGACGTGGAGGTGGACAAACCCAAGCAGTGCAGAGATGCGGAGCAGAAAGTTCCTGTGCTGTGGACCGGAGCAGCCAGCTACCACGGTAAGCGGCCCTTCAGGGAGCTTCTCCCTGTGCCTCGGGGAGGTCCCACCATTTTGGAAGATCTCGGGTCTTCCCTGGGAGGAGATAGTGGGAGCAGCTAGAGCCCAGCAACCTGAGCCCACCAGCACACCTGGCACCACTGGACCAGTGGACACTGTGTCAACACAGACTGTTACACAGTAGTGGAGCTCCCAAGGTGCCAGTAGCAGAAGCTGCTGACAGCCAGGAGCCCAGCACCATCCCCCATAGTAGCAGCCTGATCAGAGTTGAGATATACCCCCGGCAACAGAGGCTGGGGAGCAGATATCCATCCCCAGGCAACAGAAGCACAGACCAGCAGCTGAGACCCATCTCCAAAAACTATAGCAAAAGCTGAGCAGGAGTTGAGCCCCACTGGGCAGCAGCACTCCCCAGCCGCCAGTGGCGGGACCTGGGGCTCCACAGAGGCCTGTGCAGTCCAGTAGCTCACAAGAGCAGTGGGAAGCCAGAGCCTGAGAGAGACTGGTGTGATCCAGCTGCCTGCTCGTGGGAACTGCAGGGTGTGGGGGTACCAGAGAGGCCTGTTCGACCCAGCAGTGACTGTGCCATCCAATTAACCTGAGGAACTGCGGAGTACTGAAGCACCAGAGAGGCCTGTGGGACCCAGCAGCCCAAAGGGACTGTGAAATGTAGTTACCCGCGGGACCTGCAGGGTGCCGGGGCACCAGAAAGGCCTGTGCGACCCAGCTGCGCACAAGATAGGCTTGGAGGGTGTGAAAATGGAGGTGGAGTGAATAGAAGCTACACAGACGATCTCCCAGGACCAAGCAGGAATTACAACTAAAATAAAGACAAATCCTTAGAAAAAAGCAACAGAAAAGCAGCAGGACAAGACCATATAACCTGGGACACTGGTAGGATCTGCAGATGCACGAGAGAGTGGCAGGTTGGGAGCCCACAGACAGCAGCAGTCTTAGCTGTGAGGAGCGCCCTTGGGGAATAAAGACCAAGCCCGCTCCACAGCCCACAGAGCTGGGACAGAGCGCTAAAATAGCCACAGCCACTCACCTGGGGGCTATGGCAGACGGAGGGCAGACTGGGCTGAAACTCTGTGGGGACACCCGGGATTTGGAGGGCACTCAGGGTTTTTGCTGAGTTGCAGCCACAAAGGACGGTGGCCAGTGTGCTCCTTCCCAAAGCTGTGGGGAAAAGCACCAGCCCTCCCCGCTCAGAGATTCAGCCTTTCCCAGGTGAGGCAAAGAAATGCAAATTGAGGCTCATTAATAACCAGTATCTATCCCACCCTCTGGAAATCCTCTTATGCAGAACACCAGGACTACATTCCAAGGGACTGAGTAACTGAGACTACTAGCCACCAGGAAAAAGCTAGAGGATAACTGAACCTTTCCTGGGCTTGCAAATCTACCCAGGAAAGTAAGACTTCACAGTGGTGTTTAACATAGGCCCACCCAGGCTCATCCAAAACCAGTAGAAGGAGACATAAACAGCAGAAAACCAACACCCACAGGGAAAATTTGGCAGGTTCCAAAACCCACTGAGATAGCCAAAATGGTGGAACAAAGAAACAAATCCCAAATGAAAGGACAAGAGAATTCTATCAAAGATGAGATAAATGAAATGCAGCTAAGCAAATTATCAGAGGTAGAGTTCAGAGCCATGATCTTGAAGAAGCTCAACAGCATCAGTAAGGACATCAGCACCATGAGTAAAGATATAGAAACACTGAAAACCAACCAAGTGGAAATGAAGAATGACATAGCAGAAATTAAGAACACATTGGAAGGACTAACCAGCAGAGTAGAGGAAGCTGAGGACCAGATCAGTGAATTAGAAGACAGGGTAGAAAAAAATCAACCACTCAGAAAACCAAAAGGAAATAACAATCAAAAAACAGGAAGACAGCTTAAGAGAACTGTGGGACAACTGGACACGTAATAACATTTGCATCATAGGAGTCCCTGAAGAGGAAGAAAATGAGCAAGGGTTAAAGAATATATTTGAAGAAATGGTGACAGAAAACTTTCCTAACTTGTTGAAGGAAGAAGGCATTCAAGTTCAAGAAGCATAGAGAGCCCCAAGTAAGAAGAACCCAAAAAGGCCCACACCAAGACACATAGTAATTAAAATGCCAAAAATTAAAGACCAAAAGAGAATCCTAAAGGCAGCAAGAGATAAACAACAGGTTACCTACAAAGGAGATCCCATAAGGCTCTCAGCTGACTTCTCAACAGAAACACTACAGGCCAGAAGGGAGTGGCATGAAGTAATCAAGGTCATCAAAAACAAGAATCTGAATCCAAGACTACTCTATCCAGCAAGGCTATCATTCAAAATAGAAGGTCAAATAAAGACCCTTCCAGAAAAAAAAAAAAGGCTAAGGGAATATATTAACACCAAACCAGCACTGCAAGATATGCTAAAAGGACTGTTGTAATTAGTAGAAGAAATAGGAAGAAAAACAGAACCACACTAAACAAAAATGCCAATAAATAAGTACATATCAATTATCACCTTAACTGTGAATGGTATGAATGCTTCGATAAAAAGACACAAAGTAGCTGACTGGATAAGAAAGCATGACTTACATATATATTGTTTACAGGAGACCCACCTAACAACAAAAGACTCACATAGGTTGAAAGTGAAGGGATGGAGAAAAATCTTTCA